ATTCTGTACTTGAAAAAGGAACAAGAAACTGATGACAGAGATTGAAAAGCCTCACAACAGTAGTAATAACGTTTGTCTGCTTCCTGATATGTAACAAATATAGGATAAAAATAAACATGAATACAGGAAAAAAATATACAAGATAACTTCCTGAAACATACATACCTAGACTTTCTCTATTAACCAATGTTTGGACAAGTAATTAATTAAACCCACTTATTTCTTAAGACATGTAAACATTTTATTTCTATAAGAGGCTTTATGCATGAAGCGCTATATAAGACCGACATATTATTATTATTATTATTATTATTATCTTCTTTTTGCTAAAGATGATTAAATATTTGAATTGCATACAAAATAGTCCTAATGCAATAACATTTTCTACTCTATGTATATTTCCAGGCAATGCTTCCTTGTTCCTACTTATTTTTATTTTTTAATAATTTTTCTATTGTTGTTAATGCTAGCAATAATGTGATTTGATATGATGTAATATCTATATACTTTAGTATTTTACAATGTACTTTGCACATCTTTCTAAAATGTAATAATTAGTTTGTTATTATATTGTTATTATTTACTTACATTGTTCTACTACCTCTTCCACTGGCATATCGAGTTGTTTGGCCATGTAACCAAGGATAGAAAAGATGACAAAACCAGCCAACAAACTTGTTAAACAGTTTAGAATTGGGACAATCATTGCATCTCTGTAAAGATAAGTAAACCAATTGAGAAATTAATTGATGAAGGCTACATTATGTGGTAAAGATGAAAGTAATAATAAAATGATTTATTATAATGATAATGATGATAATGTCATTAGTAATAATAATATCAATAATAATAATAATAATTATAATAATAATTTAGTGATAACATTAATAATAAAATAAAACTATCTAAGATAAATTTGATCATGAAAATGATATTAACAATAATCATGATGGTTAGATTATATAGCCTATGGCAACCTATGAACTCTCTCCAATTATTACAATTCTAGTTCTATTTTGATTTATGACAGGTGCTATTTCTTATGAATTTTCTATATTTAGTTTTTTTCATTGATTATTGATTCAATACAAGACACAGTACAAGACACTGCAGTAAACATCTATAATGCAAGACTGTTAAATTACCTGAAGCAGTTATTGCGGAATTTGTTGTAGGAAGCCAAGGTGATTAAACCACCCCACGAGGCACTAAGGGAGTAAAAAATCTGGACAGCAGCATCTTTCCACACCTTTGGGTCTTTCAATCGATGCCACTGAGGTGTGATGAAATACTCGATGCCCTTCTGATGTCCATCCAGAGTTAGGCCCTTGATAAGTAAAATGAAGAGGACGACATAGGGGAACGTCGCTGTAAAGTAAACAACCTTTCCTGATGATTTTATGCCCTTTGCTAGACAGACAAACACTATACCCCAGGCTAGAAAGAGGCACAGTGCCAGCTCCCACACGACGTACCCAGTATCTTCAATACTATCTGATCTCTGCAAGGCCTCGTATCTAGGGGAAAAAAAAATTTACTTAAACCCTCTCCACTGAATTAACTTCAGATTTAATCTTAAAAAATAAAACCCCCGATTACCTTTTGCGGCCTTTTACCTTCGAGCCTGAATCTGTAACGCTATTTCATTGACGTCAGTAACAAGAAACTAATGATTATTGATATTTGGATTCAAACAAACAAGTTTCAATGATCATGCCTGCGTCACTGCATAGTCAGTCGTGATTCATTTTGCTTTTAACATTTATTTCAAATTAAAAATACATCACATGCCAGACATAAATATTTTAAGGGTAATATTTTTGACTGTAAAATTACTATAGAATCTATCCTACACTAAAAGATAAAGTCCTGTTAGTTATAAGCTCAAAAACTTTAAAAATAAAATTCCAAATTGTGATTGCTTACTTCTGTTATTTAGCTTTTATTTGAAAATTATAAAATATTTTTCTTGGCAATTACCATTGTATATTCTTTGTACTGAATTATTAGTTGGCAATAGAAATTTAAGCATTTCTGTAGTAATAAAAAGTAACAAATGTAAATCAGTCAAAACCTAATTTTTTTACCTTTGTCTCTTTGGAAATTGTTAACATGCTCATTCTAAATGAGAATTTAATATAACTGAATTCTTTTAAGATTAGATTTGCATGGATTCTACCATCAAACAAGAATCTTTAACCACTTAAACTTACAAATAATATTCTTCACTTGCTCCATGGCGTTCCTCCTTGAATGGATCTACGTATAATGTTTTATTACCGTCAGCAGAGATGTTGTACATAGCTAACTCATCCTCGCTGTAGTTCGTAATATTATCGCACGTATTATTAAATGTGACAAAGGTACCATTGCCATGCACACATTCCTGGACCTTCTCAGCACAGTTGAAAATCGAGTTCCATGAATGGTCACAGCCAACCCACGGCAGACTGCTCGTGAGTGAGGCAAACATGTAACGGATGGTATAAGTGATGATGACATTGTAGTATATACCGACGTAGAAAGACACAGCCATCATTCCATAACCAATTCCTACAGAAAGAAAAAATATGATTGATAATTTGAATAAACAGGTGTTAATTAAAATTCACTAATTTAACACCTGAATTGTGCTTGTAGATTATAGCCTGTATGTTGTTCAGGATATGTAATTTAGCCACAAGGATTAATCAGAAACCTTTAGAGAACAATACATAGAGGAAAAAACAATATACTGTACTGTATTTACAAATTAAATCATTATATGCAAAAGATAATTAAAAGAATTAATCACCATTTGAGAAACAAAAGACTCGAACAATTTGTGAGGCCTAATATTTTTTATTTTATATTGAGTCAGTAGATGCATTTGCAAGCTTGTACAGATACAGGCCACTTACAGGCAAGTTCAACGTAGATTTATTTCTCCATTCACCAAGGTTACCATTAAGGCGAATAGGATGTGACTGCTTATCATATGGCGCATAAGCAATATTTGTAAATATTTTTTTAAAACTTTTAATCAGAAATGCGGTCCAAAATATCTTATAACTTTAAATCGTGGCGTATACTTTTAGGACGTGTTCTAGTTCATTTGGCCGTATTTTTAAATATGGTGACAAATATTCCAAATCCAGGTTAACAAAATCGTCTTTTCAGTCTGACTGTGCACGTAACATTTATTTACTTAATCCCAATATGGCGTCAACAAGAACACAGAGACTAGCTTGAATTGATAGAGATGAATGGTGTTGCATGTCTTTCCAGGGGTATAATACTAACAAGGATGCTTGGATGAAGAACAATTTTAATCTATGAAATATTCATGATTCAAGAAGAAAAATATTTTTGGGCCTAAGAAAATTTTAGACATATCTATCTTAAATGGATGGAGTGTTTTTCCTCTGTTCTTGTTTATTGTAGCAGTTTTTTTTCCTTTTTAACCATACTAGAAACTGTTTAAGGAATTAGGGACAATTAAGCAATGGTTGTACAAGGAAGTTGTACGCAAATAATAATTGCAAAAGAAATGGGGAAGCACCTAACCACTACACTTGAGTTTGTGCCAATAAGCGGTCAAAATGAAAGTCATTGATCATTTTTTTTTCAATAAAAGTATCTTGTATCTTGTGTTTTGATGTATACAGAATACTCTCTTCAAATCTTCATTAACGGTTTTAAAAGCAAATAAAAGAACACTCTACGACAGAGAGTTATTGTTGATGTGTTTTTAATTGCTTTCTTGGCTACGAGCATCATCCAAAAATACTTTGTTTTGAACTACTATAGGAAGGCTTGATGCACATTTTGAAAAAAAAATGTGGTTATTTTCCAGGATATACAAACTAACATAACATTACTAATGTAACATAAATAAATAGGTGAAAAATATATATAAATGTAAAATTGTAAAACTGGTTAATCTGTCAAAAAATATTCCATAACATAATCTCGAAAAAACATACACGCCTTTAATATTTGTATTCTAATACATTTATAGTATTAGATAAACACTAGAAAGAAATTAATGATTTATTTACCTCGCAAAATCGGAACTGAACGCCATGCAGAGATGGGTCCAAGACTGCAGTACTGGCCAAACGCAAGCTCAAGGAAGAACAGTGGGATACCAGCGAAAAACAGCATAATGGTGTATGGTATTAAAAATGCCCCTGTAAAGAAAACAATATATAAATTCACAGGTCATCAACAGATTATGCTATTTATATCCTATATAAACTAATGTTTGGTGTGTATTTTTTCACAAAAAGTGGATTTCTGTGCTATAATTTTTTTTAAATTTTACATTTAAATACAAAACACAGTACTAGTGTACAATAAGGAAGGTTCGTTTACCACATATTGCATTTAAAAAAATAAAACATTGTTTTGTAGTTTTGCTTATTTTCTTCCATTTTGTCCTCTTCAGTTATTTTTGTTGCATGTTTTTCAATACTGCTCCATATGAAAGTTCACTTATCTGTTTGGGTGTGGGTGGTTATTTCTAATTATACCAGCAAATATAATTAGAATTGTAATGTGGGAGTGCTTTGTTTCTGCAAACAAAGCACCATATGAATAGCAAAGTAGAATAAAACGTAAAATGCTTTTAAATTGGAGATGACAGTGATAGCCATGGATGGACATTTCAAATCCCCTTGCCAGCAACCAAACCCTCTTATAAATGCACAACTTATCAAAAAGGCATTTAAATTATTAAAGTGCTTAACAACTCAAAAGGGTAGAAAACCAATTATTGATGTACAAGCAATGCTAATGTTGAATGCACATGCGATTAAACGTGACATTGCTGCACAGGAAGAAGGATTTGACGTCCACCACGCACGTCAAATATTTAACTGACCGTGGATCTTCATCAGATATATCATCTTCATCACGAAATTATCTCTCTCAAAACTTTGTAGGGTAATTTATATATAACATTTAAATTACTGTACAAGACTTCTAAAAATACATGTACAAATATTAAGCAATTTATTCATTAATGAACATCATCTTCATCATCGTCATCATAAAATTATATCTCTATCAATAAAATTTAAATAATAGTCTTCTAAAAATACATGTAAGAATATTACGAACTTTATTTATGGAGAGGTTGTAAAAAATATAATCATCTTTTAAATCATATTTATCTAGGTACAAGTGTCTGTATGTTACATATTTTGAGTAAACGGTACAAATTTTTTAACCTAAAGTTACACACCCTGACTGTGAATGTTTTTATTTTATTTTAAATTTATTAACTAAATTTGTCTGATAGAACTATTAACAAATTCTGTTAAAACAGACATATTAAACAATATTCATTAATAGTCCTATATTAAAATATTCATCAAAATCAAAATTCTTATGTGTTTAATTATATACATTTAAAATAAGAATGTTACGGATATCAATAATGAATACAGAAAAATGCTTTGCACAGTACAAAGCTGAAAATCCCTTTTAAGATTTGCAAGTAGTAGCTTTAACATGCCTGATTTTGCTCAACTCTTAAACGATTAATTATTTTGTTGACATCAAATCAACTCTCGATATCAACATAATAACTGAGACTTTATTTTATATATATATATATATATATATTTACATGGAGCATGAAAAAAATTACTATACTGAAATTATTATTATTATATATATTTTTTTTGGATATAGAACTAATGTTATTTAATAAAATAATAAACACACATACAAACGTTATCATTAAACTATAATTTTTTTTTTACGTTTCCAACAGGATTATGCCATGTCACGTTTTCAAACACATGACGATGACAAGTACAGAAATTAAATTTAAGTATTATTGATCCGGAATATGACTATGAAGAGATCAGCCAACAAAATGATTCGCTAGCCAATAAAGTGTTGTCAGACTAATGATTACAAAAAACTAGGTAAAAAAAACAGGGACGGTGCCAGAGATTCGTTGACAAGGGGTCCTGACAGGGGCCCACAACCACCTTAGCACATGGACCGTTGATGTAATCTAAATGGTACTTTAAAACTGCTTTATAAAACAGTGTTCCAAAACGAAATGATGTTTCTACATGGGATGAAAAATAATTTCAAAGAGTATAAACTTACCCCCTCCATTTGAATAGCACAAATAAGGGAAGCGCCAGACATTTCCAAGACCCACTGCATACCCAAGACAAGACAGCATAAAATCAAACTGTCCTGACCAGTTTCCCCGAACCTTGTTTTCATCTTGGTCCGAAACGTCTTTGGATCGGATGTCATCGTTATTATGGGGTACTTCAGTTGCGTTAACGGCTACATGCCCGTTAGCTGTTGGCTAAAAATAAAATTTTAAACCATTAATATTCCTTATTGGTATACTTGTACACTAACAGTATATAATTATATACTAATTATTACTAAGAACAAGTCATATTGATTATTGTTATTATTCAATCATTTATTCTAAAGTACAAAAACAAAGGGAAAAACAACAGTAAAGTACTTAAAGCCAGATATTTTTACTATTGCTCCTATATGTAACTATAAATAGCACATTGTATAAATTTAATAGGAAACATTAAAAAGAAATTGTCTCATACCCAAAAAAAAACATAAAAATCATTTTTGAAATTAATTTTGCTAATTTTTGAAGCATATAAAAATTATCAAATTAAACATAGAAAGTAGTGTATTAAAAAAAAATGTTATCCATAAGCACTTCCAGTCACTGGACATACTTTATTTTTTTTATTATCACTCAGTATAAAAACCAAGATAAACATTTTTTCAGGGGACAAATCATCTTTAAATAAAATGTACATTATGGAAACATAAAATTAGCATTAAATTACAAAATATCAATTATATTTGCTATAATAGTAGCAGGATTGTAAACCTACTACTATTGTATCAAAGAAACTGAAAGATAATTTGCTATAATTATCATCAAACAGGCGATAACATTATCATTATCAAATAGCCAAAAATTAAAGCTAAATTTAGAACTAAAACTTGTTAAAAGGAATGCAGTTGGTTTTGATTATAGAATTCCAATTAATTTCAGTTTCTGTAATAAATTTATTACAAACCATATCAAACCAAACAAACAAAGACCTACCTGTGCATTCTATTTTGTGATCTGTACTATCTACTGACTTACTGTGTATATATTTTTTGAATTTATTTATTTTTGAATTTTTTTTTATAATCATTATAATATTACCACTGATTATATATTATCTATCATTTGTTATCATACTGTATCACAAGCTGCAGCAGGTACTGGGTTTTATAAATAATGACTGATTTGCAGCATACGCCAGACCATGGCCAGACGTACGTAGTTGACTGCATAATATATAGCTCCATGGCCAGACGTAGTTGACTACTTTTCAAATTCCTGACAATATTAAATTATGCATATAGTCTTAAGGTGGAAGAGACACAACCTCATTGGCAAATGTAATTAGCACTGGGTCACACGGATAAAACAATTGCAATAAAATTGATCGTGTAACATTGCAATTTTGATGTAAATATTATTATAATCAATTTCTGATTCTTTCTTTACACACATTTATTCAATCAATGGGAAAAAAGAAAAAAATACAAGCATCCATCAATTTGGATCAAGCTTAGAAGGAGCTTGTCTCAGCTTGACCCGGACAAGACACAAATCATTATTCATGAAATAAATAAATCAATAAATAAACGAACAAAGAAAGTGAAAAAGTTATAATTGATATATTCCTAGTTAAAAAGTTAACATTATAAGTTCAGTAAGGTGTGACACTGACAAGGAACTCCACAATGGCCTAGGCCTACACTGTAAAGCAAGGGTAAAACCAACTAACCCAGGTAGATAAAATAAATTTAAAGGGGGAATATAAAATAAATTTAAAGGGGGAATCGATGCAATATTAAAGTAAGCCTGCTACGCCTGTAGCTTACCTTTTCAGGCTCCATTATTCAGTACTCAGTGTTAGATTATAAGAGCTAGTAAGACGTCAATGTTTATAACAACTTCAAGTATTAACTGACGCTATTTAGATACGTGGATTGTTTTTGTTTTCATTAACTATATTGGATTCCTGGTAGAGTACGAGGAAGCGTACAGTCATTCATCATCAGCCAATGAGAAGAAGACTCTATAAGAGATGATACTGAAATGTTTCCATATTTGGTCATTGGTGGGCCGTACTTAGTATTGGATCTGTCGTACACACGTGATAGGAAATAGAAAGTCATTGACCTCCACTTTTGTTTCAAGAGGCAATACTTTAATCCTACGTGGTCATCATTGACCATATGGTAACTAACCCATTTGAGGATAATAGGTAAACGGATGTCTTTATCGAAAATGTTCGAACTCAATACGGTCCGGAGAAAATAATACAGGACTGGCTTATCTCTCGAGAAGCTGGTCAGGTAGAATGAATACCGGAATGAATAGTGTGCTTGTTGAAACTAGATTTAAAACTTGGTCTCACAACATGAGTGTACTTGTTTATGTTTGAGCCATTCTCGGAAACATTCTATAGTACTGTATTAGTATCGGTACGTTCTTCCAGGCAAAAAGAAAAGTAGGCCTAGTGCTAATAAATGTTACCGCTCTAAATTCAAATGATTCAATGGGAAAGTGTATAATGCCAATGGAGCTATTATTTTGTTACTCCACTCTCCTAACAGAATGTAAATTCACTACACAAACGAATTAGGTCGCTGCCTGAGGTCGATGGGAGAATGCATTACCAAGATATGAGGTATTAAATAGGGGTTTAACATGGTTTTACCTATACAATACTTGGAACACTTAGCGTCAAATTCACATCACTGTCAACGCTGGAGGCTTTGAATGAGTAGAAAGGGAAACATCCCTTTGTCTCCCTGTACGTGAGGCTAAGCATGTATTTATATGACGCCATCTCCGCGTGGAGTCGGGTGTCAGTGTCAGAGCAGCACCCTGTAGTCTTCCGAACAAGGATACGTGTGACATACATGTTCAATGCTGGTCAAGCGGAAGGATGCAATAGCGATGATTAAATTAATGGAGAGGCATTGAACCGCTTTATCAAAAACCGCGTCTCAAGAGTAAACAAAGTGTGTGTACCATGCACTTAATTCTTAATGCCTGTTTATACTTGCAACGATAACGATAAGAAGCTAAAAAGCAATTGTTCATGTAAAAATAAAGAAATAAGAGAAGTCTTTACACTAGGACAATTCGATAACGATTTATTATTTTGACAAATCAAATCAAATGACATCGTCATAATGATGGAAAAACGATAAAATCGTTTTGTCAAATTATGTTGTTATCGTATACACGATAAATCGTTATCAAATCGTCCTAGTGTAAAAACTTCTCTTATTTCTTTTATTTTCATTAACAATACTTTTTATCGTTATCGTTATCCTTGCAAGTATAGTATAAACAGGCCTTTAATGCAATATTCTCATGAACACGCGTATTAAAATAAGTGGATATTACCTCCAAGATTAGAAAAGGGTTGTTGCTTGCTTAGGTTAATTATTAACATGTTTCGGTAAAATATGCGGCTTCGGCATTATGAACTTCTACTTAAAAAAAAAACATTATATAGGCCTATCCAACCGGTCTTCAACCTTTGTTTCATTACAGGTGCTATCATTAAAAACAATATAGAGGTGCAATATCCGACCGGTCTTCAACCTAACGCCATTACATACAGGTGCTATCATTAAAAACAATATAGAGGTCTGCGATTCCGGATATTGTTGTTTTGTGTGTTTGAGACCAGTGGCGGATCCAGAAATTTGAAATTTTCGGGGGCCCAAAGAGAGACTTTTACAGATGGAGGGCCAATACGGTATCTTCCCAGTTTGTCGAAATCCAGTTTGTCGAAACCCGGTTGGCCGAATTTAAACCTAGATCCGTCTATACTACCTCAGCCCCGCCATGGTTGGGGCTGATGAGGTAAGAAATTGTATGATTATGGGGCACCTCTCATGGCAGAAAGTGACATTTTTTTCCCAATTAAAAAAAAAATTGACAAAATTTAGTGGGGCCCGGGCCGGCTGGGGCCTCCCTTGAGCCCGCCTATGGTGACTCGAGATCTTCATACACTCTGCATCTTCTTTGATAATATTTTTACATGATAAAATAAAGCTCGGATACATGGGCGAATCCACGTCAACATTACAGACAATAGTAAACTGAGAATAAATGTTATGCATAGGCTGTGAATGTAATTTCTATCTATGCTACGTAAATCAAACTTTCTATTACGGTACTTTTTACTCGCAGCTTTCTTTTTCAAAACTATTTAATTTAACGTGTGGTTTCCATCTTGTAATTCAGGCTTCCCGCTGTAAAACTTATGCGAATAAAAATTATTAATTATGTTGGATATGGGTCTAATTATTAACTAGTAATACGCCTCATTTGCCGACAAAGGCGTTTTCATACCCCCCGGATCATTAATGCGGTTTCGTTTCCTTTAAAGGCAATATGCAATTCGTCACTTGGCGAATTCAATGCTTTCTATCAAACCAAATTATGATTTCAACCAGGATCTTTATAAGTTCTGCGGTTTTTCGCTATGTCCTCATAATCATGAAGAATGTGTAAATTTTATTTAACTGTGGCCAATGTTACAAATATTCGTTTGTTAGTGGTTATTATCGTTGACTGTTATTATTATTGTTGTTATTGCTATTGTTAGGCCTATTATTATTCATTTTTAGGGTATTTTATTTATTAATATTATTATTAAGCATTCGCGGGTGTGGGATCATGGAGGTATAAAAATAGATACCGCCATGGTGGGATGAACGCTAGTAATTCAACCTCTCCAAAAGGAAGAAGCACCTGATAAGATGATACTCCATCCGCCAATGATCCATGGGCTGGCACACTGCCAAACTCATCCTACTGAGTTCCATTGACGCAATTCATTCATTATAATATTATTTCACAAACATACTACGGGGAAAATTTTGTACATACAATTTCTCATCGAAATTGAAAAGAAAAATTAACGTGTGAAGAGCGTTCTTACAAAGACCTCCATCAGAAATTAATGTTCCATTAACATCATCAGTTGATATTTAGTGACCTAATACCTTCGATAGCTATAAAAAAAAAAAAAATTATAATAAAGCAATTTATCTCAGGACACACGAATGCTGATATCACCATGTCCACGATAAGTTTTCTAGAACGATCCAGCCTGCGTCATCAGCAGAATTGCCATGGAAACTTGAGTGTATGGCCTTTTATGGTAATACATAAATTACCGACAGTTGGTGGCAAGATGTGTTGTTTATTCGATCAACTGGCAACACACTGATTCTCAGAATACGAACACAACATTTATAATAATACATGGAAATAATATGATGCCTAATAATTATAAAACCGCGCAGTGTTGATGAAACAACCCGTTGATCATGATTGTAACACTCGTGACACTCGAACACACCGCCGCAGTCTTATAATAGAAAATGACAACGCTAATTTAACGCTTGCAAAATTAAAATAAACATAAATAATTATGAATATTATTACCTACATTTTTATTCCCTCGGCCGGCAAAATTAATAACAATTATAATGGAAATAATGAATAACCAGAGGTTATTCGAATAAGACCAATGTGTGGGTTTATTTTATTTAAGTCATGCGTTGATAAACCCACGAAGGCTATTATTTAATGGTTTTTGTTCGTTAGATTATCACCTCTATGGTTAGACCATAATTCCTCCATGGTTAGACCATACATTCATTCAATTTAACCGGATCTGACACGCCCGTATTAACAATAAAAAGCACTGTGATCTATGTTTCTATGGAACGTTGAGAGAACGATGCATTCCTATCAACAATTACAACTGACCATAAATTAAGTATTATTATTATTGTTATGAATTAAATAAACAAAGCTAACTTGAAGAAACAAATATTTTTTTATAAATTCCAAAATTGTCGATTTAAAAGATTGTATTTCATGGCGCCATGAAAATTTTATTCTTCCATGATCTTCCGTGACCGGTACTGAATGTTGAATCTTTCTCACTTAAGATTATTAGTGGAAGTGGTGGCGCAAGGGTTGTGGCCCGGACATCCTTGTTCGGGGGTGCGAATAACAATCGTTCTGAAAATCACTTGTGTCCTTAGGAACATTGTCTCCCTTCACCCAGGAGTACAAGTGGGTGACTGATCTTTCATGAAATTCCCCCAAAGCCTCAAAGGCATCGTTCCAATGGAAAAACGCTCTGTCTGAGGCTACGGTTGTGCAGAACGCTATATAAAACGTACATTATTATAATATAAACTATAACATTTCAGTAGTTCCATTTTACCAAACTGTGATTTTTATTATGGTCAAGTTCTATAATATCAACGAATAAATACACACCAGTCCTGTTTTCTTATAGTAGGCCCTATCTAATATCAACTCTTCAATAACAATATCAATTCAAACCCAAACTGAAAAAACGTCTTTAACTTACCAGTGGCTTATATATTTTCTCAGCCATTTTCTTCGACAAATACGCGCGTTTTTGTGTTTTGTTTTGTAGTAATCGTTGGTTCTTGCTCCTTCAGAAATCGACAATGTTTTGGCAAAACATCAACAAACGTTATTTTATTATTCTCTCACGCTAACGAATCCATGGTTGTGGTTGGTTGGTTGATCGATGACGCTGATTGGCTAGTACCATATTAATAGTTATGAATGAAGACGTATGATGCTGATTGTCGTATAATGGATAGATGCTGATTGGCTTATTAGGATTTAAGACGAGCCCATTATTTGCATGACGCCAATAGAAACGGGCAGGTAATGGAATCCGAAATATTTCATTGATTGTTTAGATATGACCTTATCAGGAAAATGGTGGGAAGGAATGATGCATATTCCTATTATAATTTCGTTGCTCCGAGTTCAGGAATTACATTTTCTATGACTATTTTTCCACCCTCTTCCATTACTCTTCCCAATATTTTGTGAATGTGAACACAACCTTACATATTAAATACGTGGTATCCGGTTAGAGGAATTTGATTTGACCTTGGCCATGTCAGGTATCTGTCCATGATGACGAGGGATTGATCCCATTTTATCCTTGACCAAAACCGCTATTATTATTTTTTAAAAATTCTTAGAATTTTAATATAGCCGGCCCACTTTATATGACCCTCTTCATGACCCACTCCATATTCAAAATTATAATTCTTCATGAAAATTGTTGGGTTATTTTTTCTCACGACTAATAGCATTTCCAATCTATGAACCGTAATGAAACTTACATATAAAGCATTAAGCTCTGTCCACACTACCAAATTTTCTAGGAAAAAAACTGCTGTATGCCATATTTAGTCATGATGTGCCCATATATAGTCATGATGTGCCTATATATGGTCATGACGTGATGTCATCATGACCACTTCATGACCATATTTAGGAATGTCACATGTTTTTGATAGGCTTTACATTATTTTATTTATAGAGACCCTGAATATCAGAGAACCTTCTAGACTAACCTGGAAAGGTTATTATGGCTGACATGAAAAATATGAAGGAGGCCTATATAAAAGCACGGAGGTATAAAAATAAATAACATAGAAGATTTTTTATATTAAAAAGTACCTCAAAGGTATAATACATGAAAATATATTTTGGGCAAAGGCCCTTAGTTAATGGAGGTGGCTTTTTACCAAAATGAAAAATAACCCTTTTTCCGTTGGGTTAATTTGCATATTTATGTTAATTACATCTAAAGGGTTTTATTTAGAATCAATTTCTTGGAATGTAATATGTGTACTTACGCACTAAATAAAATCTCTAAAGTGGAAAAGTAGTCAACAGCCAGCATATTTTTTTTTGGATCAAAATCATCTATACAACCAGTACTACTGACCCTCTATACTCTTATTCTGAGTTCTGTGGGTTTACCGTACCAACCAATTTGTACCTCCCTACCCTCTCTTCAATCAGTCGGTGTCGTCACTCGTCACAAGAATGAGCCGCGAGGCTAAACACCTGGATACCGGGCCCATGACGTCGTCTTGTCTGCCCATCGATTTGATTAAATTTAAAAAGATTTTATTGACCTACGGAGTGTGTATTTTGTTACTTCCTCTCGTTTAATCATAAAATGGAAGCATTCAAATTTTATCAATTATTATTGATAATAATAAAAACACCTGTTATGTGATGGCGTTGGTAATTATATTCCCGGCATTTACATAAATATAATAGATGAAGGTTTTATAGCCAGACGTTGCATTGGAGCGATCTCCCTGATGATTAAAAAAATCCTTGTTCATTTTTTGCCTAGATTTTTACAAACTTAAAACAATATGTTTTCCAGAATAATAATAATAATAATGATAATAATAATAATAATAATGATAATAATAATAATAATAGTAATAATAATAATAATAATAATAATAATAGTAATAATAGTAATAATAGTAATAATAGTAATAATAATAATAATAATAATGATAATGATAATGATAATGATAATGATAATGATAATAATAATAATAATAATACAATACAATACACCCATTAGAATACATAGTACTGGCTGTATTACACTGGTGTGTGTAGCCGCCACTAGTATAGGCTTTGTCATTCCATGTATATGCCCCTCCCTTTGGACTAACTTCAGTGTTGCGAAGCATCTGAAAGGAGGCATATCTCGAATCGAATCACTATAATAAAACAAAAACAAAAACAAAACAAATAATGGACATGATAATCACCTCCCTTTGGATTCACGGGCTTTCAGAGTTGCTTTTGTACCGTTATGTAACAGGAGCAAACCCAAAAGATGAATAATACGCCAACAATGCGGGAACAAAGGATATCAAGGGCGTCTACAAAGAAAGGTGAAATCACAGTGGACGCCAATTTGAAGAGGTATCAAATGATGATTCTGAGGTAAGAAGGGTTTCATAATGACGCATATATATATATATATATATATATATATATACACAGATATATATATATATATATATATATATATATATA